AATTATACATATTCTTGTAGATTTACCATTTTTAGATTTTTTTACTTTTTCCAATATGAAATATTTTACTAAAAGTCATTTACAAAAGTTTACACCACGTAATAAATACATTAATGATACTAGAGGTTTTTTTTACAGCGAAAGAATAATTTAAGTATGGAACTCACTTCCTGACCACATAGTGAACTCGTCCTAACTGTCAGCATTCAAATCGAATTCACTGTCAGCATTCAAATCGAATTCACTGTCAGCATTCAAATCGAATTTAAAAAAGTATGATTTAAATTGTCACGCAATCTATTAACTTTTTTCACATAAACTCATATTGAATTTTCTTTTTTGTTTTTTTTTGGTCCTACATAAGAGTAATTTAGTAATTACCTGTTTCACCATTTTGTATTTTGTACATTTTTTACATAATAATAATAATAATAATAATAATAATAATAATAATAATAATAATAATAATAATAATAATAATAATAATAATAACAATAATAATAATAATAATAATAATAATAATAATAAGAAGAAGAAGAAGAAGAAGAAGAAGAAGAAGTTAAAACTCATATGGAAATTAATTTTAATTGAAATAATCATGTAGTATAAAACTTCATATTTTATTACAAATTACGACATTGAGATATTTAAAGTTTTGTGCATTTTAATAGTGTTTCTTAGTTTAGGTTCCCAGTATATTTTTACATATTTAGAAAACTTGTTATTTATTCTTGGTTATTTATAAATATTCCTTTGAATCCTCCTAAATGAGAAAACATTTTTTTCGCATTTTTTTTTTTTTTTATCATTTTACCAATAAACTTTTTTGGAATCAAGTTATTATTATTTTTACATTAAGACTAGTTGTTGGCAAATATTGATTTTAATTATATTTTCATCATTTGTATTTTTATTTATAAATAGTTATTTACTTAGTTTTAAAATTTCATTTTTATTACTATAATTAAATTTTTACATTTGAAAAAATGTTTAAAAAAATTGCTTTTTTAAATTCAATATACTTGTAACTATCATGGCAATTTATAATTATTTCATTGCCATAACACATTCTTATTTAACTTGATGCAGATTGAATTAAATGTTCTAAAAAACGAATGAAATATGCAATTATCACTATTATCATATTTTAACTCTAATGTTAATAAGGATAACTGCTTTATCAACGAAATAATGAAAATTTGCAAACGCCTGGAACTAAGCTTCATTCAGCGTATGATTAAGGGGGAAAAAATCATTATCAAACGTCGTAACAATGACGTAGAAGATAATATAGTGGAAATTTTAAACCAGTCTTTTGAATTCTGAAAGATCAAAGAATAACTTTAATAAAGCGGTTAGAAAAAAATGATTTGACTATCTCATAAATATTCCCAAATACACCATATGATGTAAGCTTATGGAGGAAAACCAGGAAAATAAAATCATTCAGTCACACCAGTTAGCAAGTCAGCCGAAAAGGATCAAAAATCATATTGATTGTTTGACAGTAAGTTATTTGACTTATAATAAGATGTTAAAAATGTGTTGATCAAAAACTCAAAGACCTTGCTAATAACAGATTGGATGATAGTTGGAGTGATAAAAATGTTCTCCAGACTTTTTGTAAATCGGAATCACATCACATCACATCTATTTATTTTCCACATCTAGTCTACATCACATCACATCTAGCTATTTTCCACATCTAGTCTACATCACATCACATCTAGCTATTTTCCACATCTAGTCTACATCACATCACATCTAGCTATTTTCCAGCAGGCAGTAAAACAAGATCCAGTCAAGCACTTGTTAAATAGTTTATAAAAAGAAAAGGAAAATCTGAAGAAAAAAAAGTATAATTATCAGTGAAACACTAAATGTATAATTTTTATCTCAATTATAAATTGTTTAGTGTCAATATAACAAAAGTAAAAAAATAATTTCAACAAACAAAACATGTAATGAGATTAATGTCCGATAAACATTCTTTATCACATTTCGTGTGTTTCTCACATTTCTTGTGTTTCTCACATTTTGCGTGTCTGTCACATTTTGCGTGTCTCTCACATTTCGTGTGTCTCTCGCATTTCTAGTGTCTCTCACATTTCGTGTATCTATTACATTTCGTGTGTCTGTCAAATTTTGTGTGTCTCTCACATTTCGTGTGTCTCTCACATTTCATGTATCTCTCACATTTCTTGTGTCCTCACATTTCATATGTCTCTCACATTTCGTGTGTCTCTCACATTTTGTGTGTCTCTCACATTTCGCGTGTCTCTTACATATCGCGTGTCTCTCACATTTCGTGTGTCTCTCACATTTCGAGTCTCTCTTACATTTCGTGTGTCTCTCACATTTCTTGTGTCTCTCACATTTCGTGTCTCTCACATTTCGTGTGTCCCTCATATTCATTGCTTAATAATCTAAATATTTTGAATCTTTACTTAATAAATACTTATCAAAACCTAGTTTTTATGTACAAAACTAGTAAAAAAAATTCTCAAATATCTTTTTATGCACAAAATTAGTAAAAAAAACTCTCATATATAATAATAAATCAATGAAGAAGCACAAGAGTCTAAGAAGGTTCTCAAACATGGAATAATATAAGTAGTAAATATAGAATAATATAAATAATAATGAAATTAATACGCTTACAACAATAAATCAATTTAAAATAATTTTAGAAATTCTGAATTTTAAATTCTTATTTTTAACATTTGAAAATTATAGCGGAATAAACCATAAATCCCCTTCCAAATTTTCAGAAAATAATTTTGTTACTCAAAAATATAATCGAGAGTTTTTATTTAATTTAGTAACAGTGACTTATTTTGTGAAAAAATTTTCGCATATTGTTAATATAAAAGAAAAATATTTCCGCAATTCAAATCTAAATTAAATCGTTATTTAGTACTTACGGATTTTAATATAATAAATTTTGTCTGCCTCTTTTAATTTAAGTTATTAAACTTAAATTAGTATCATAAATTTAATAATCTAGATCATTTAAAAAAGAATAAAATCAATTAACATTAAGAATTTCGATATCTTTATCAGACTTTTATTAAAAATATTTATACTTGAAGTTACCTACAAAATTTTTATTGTTTTACATTTACTTTATTTAATTATGCCGATTCTTTTTGGAAACTTTCTTACATTTACGTTATTTATTAACACTTTAATATACTTTATTTTAACTTTGTTTATTTTAACTTTGAATAAAGATCTAAAACGGGAAAATTTGTCATTTTTATTATTTTATTTTAATTATTATTTTTTAATTTTAAAATTTTTTTATTTCCATTTTGATTTTTAACATCTTACGATTATTTTTTTATGTTGTTTAATGGGACATGGCGATAAGGCTAATTTATGCTCCAGGCATAGTTTATGTCTTCTTCTTGCTCCAGCATTTCATTTTTTTAATATTTTTGTACAATGTAAGTTTTTTTAAACGGCGAAATAAACTAAACTAAACTAATTTTATAGTATTTTAAATTTATTTTTAAATATTTTCTTTATTTATAATTTGAAACAAATTTTGGAGTTTATGATGGCATTTATTTCTTCAATTCTTACACTTGAATACTTGTTACTTCTTCGAACTTCTCACTTTATAAGCGAGAGGTCCCGAGTTCAATCCACACCACTTCCCTGGTAGTCCTCACTTGCAAGTGTCTTGATATTTTTTATAGCAGAATTTTATATGTAGATAGTAACTTATTCTTTAAGACAAAAGCCTAATTTTGCGGATGACAGTTTATTCCTAATATTTAAAAAGACAGGATTCAATATTTCAGCATATTCATAAACCGTGCAAATAATTTAATTGATGTGTGGCTTATACTGAGTTTATAAACTAAAGTTTTTGCAGAAGTACTAAAAAGTAATTTCTACTCAAGTAAACAATTTTATGAGAGAATTCTTTTCTATTATCCAAACTATTAAATATTATAATATTGTCTTTTTATATTTTTTATTGTCTAAGGAGACCATATTTCTTTGAAACTCGGAAATGTGACACAATGTTGCACGCTATTTATTTGGACCTTTTTCAGATTCGAGACACGTAATACAAATGTGGTAGCCAAAAGATGTTAGCTTAAACGGTTCGTAACAGTGCTATTAGTTGACAAACAATGTAATTAGTCGCAAAAATAACGACATTAGTCGCAAATTTTAATTAAAGGTTAAGCAATTTTGCTAGAAATGTTATGATGCAAAATAAGTGACATTTTTTTAATGGAAAATCTAACAGTATTTAAATGGATGTTTGTATAGAATAAATATAGCTAAGAAAGATACTCTCGTGGTACCAAAATATATAAAAGGCAAATATGTATCAATATCACAAAGTAAGTTAAACATATTTATATATTTTAGTAACAATATATAATTGAATAATTATTTGATACATATATTTATATAATACATATTTTTTTTCAAACAAAACTCAGCTTAATGTTCTTTTTAAAAAAACTAAAAAAAATTTTCAATTGAAGTCTATAAAAAACCAATTTAAGTGTAAGTTTTAAGTATGCCAATTTTAATAATCCTTAGTTTGAGTTTTACTTTTTTTTAATAAAAAAGTTATATTACAACTAACTTTAGACTTCTTCTTTAAAATTTTTTTAAGGGCGGAACTATGCAAAGATGTCAGTAAGAGCCAGAAATTAGGGTGGAATGCAAGAAGCAAACTTGAGTCAAGTTCGACTTGAACTTCACTTTGTAACCAATAGCGACAGAGTATTTTTTGAGGGGAAAACCCATACTCTGTTGCTATTGGTTGTAATGTAAAGTTCAAGTCGAGCTTGACTCAAGTTAGCTTCTTGCATTCCATTCTAGAATGTTAAAAAATATATACTTTGTGAACTATAACTTTAAATTTAATGTAAGCTTAATTACTTTTAACTTTTAGTTAAAGGTTTAAACCTTTTCAATTATTTGAGTTTGATATCAATTATTATTTTTTTTAGATGATAATTTTATTCTTTATTTATTTTGTATCACTGGTGAATGGTTTGTCACTATACAACGACACTAATGTTAGCTCTATACAAGTTCAGCCAAGTTTTTATGTTTCTCCAACAATTGCAAACTCAGATAATTATGAAAATGAAGTTTTTCAAGAAGCAACTGATTCATTAACAACTATAACTACAAGTAATACACCAAAACAACTCTTGCAAATTTTTACTATCAACAAATTGCCTACTTTAGGCGCAGTAAAAATACCAACAATAAACTCAAATGAAGTCTCTTCAACATTACCAGTAGAAAGTTCTGATATAAGATCAATTGTTTTACTGAACAATTCTACATTAAAAAACGATAGCTTAATCAATTATCAAGTTTTGCCAACTGAGAGAACAACAAATGCTATTTTTGACACTTCCTTCAATACTATCTTATTAACAAATACAAATATGTCTATTTTTCAAGTTTCAAGTGTTGCGATTTTTTCATTATCTGATAAAAATACTCCAAACCGCAACTACTTCGGGATTTATTCTAAATCAATCACAAAATCAAAAAGTACAAAACAATACGTAGTTAACATCCCTGTTTCTGAATCTCAAACATTATTAGCGATTACGACTGCAACAGTATTGTCATCAGTTGTGTTACCGTCATTTGTACTTCCGACAGCATCATCAAAAGCTTCCGTTAACTACAACATGAATTTTAAAGAACATTTTCTGGTTTGTCAACCAGACGAAAACGTTTGTTTAAACAAAGGAATCTGTTATAAGTCACCTAATTTCAGATTTTGCAGGTAAATATTTGTTTCTCCTTTTTTGTTGCTTTATTTGTCATTTTCTTGTTTTGTATTTACTAGTTGTAGTAAGTTAGCTGGTTAAATGTCTGTAAATATTTATGCATAAAAAAATACAATTTTATTGAGTTAAATGTTGTGACTAATATTGAATACTTAAAGTATATTAGTGACATTTTAAGTTTATATAAGCGACGTGTAAAGAATGCTTTATTTTTTGAAAAAACAACACTTTTTTAAAAAGAGTTTAGATTTTTACTACATCAAATTATGACAACCTATTTATATTTTTGAAAGGTTTTTTTGAGTAGTGTTGCTGTTATTAATATATTTTTAGATGCACTGGAGACTATATTGGATCTTTGTGTGAAACCAAAGCAGTTAGCGGTGAGAATTCAAAATAATTAATATTATACTCAGTAAACACCAGACGTTATTAATACGTGTAAAAAAAATTTTATAGGTTTTAATACCTTTTTTTGACGTTTAAAACACTTGTGTGTTTATTGGGTAATTTTTCTCGTATTAATTTGCAATTGTTGTAATAAAACTCTTTTTTTTAAGGTATTGACAGTGTTGTAGTTTGGTTAGGAACTATCTGTGGGGGATTACTTCTTCTTCTTATCATTAGCACTTATTTTGTTCATATGAAACTAAAGTAAGTAATTTTTGAATATTTGTTTATTATATAGTTTTTAGGATTTATTTTATCTTAACTTTAAATTTATCTTTTTTTAAAAAAAGTAAAAATATTGTTTTAAAATAATTTATGAAATTTTTTTTTTTTAATAGCAAAGGAAATAAAGAAAAAAAAAAGCTCGAAGATGAGCTTCAGTCGGTTAAAAATCAAAATGCTAAGTTGATAGCTGAGTCAAAAAACAGAAGACGGTTTTCATCTAGTGAATGTAGCTTTTACACAACTGATTATTACGTACCCAAACCTTATAAAAAGAAACCATCAGATGCAAGTTTACAAACTAGCAATGAACTTAATTTTAAATGCAAACAAGAAAACCTTATTTTAAATGACGTAATTGATGAGGAGGATGATGTTAAGCAATCGGCTGTTGAAAAATGTACGAACTCAAAACAAGAAGACATTTGGGGAAATAATTGCAACGCAGAACCTGTGGCCAACATCAATGTAAAAGCTTCCGACCTAACACCTATGACTTCTTCTTCAAATCTTTCGTCAATTAGAGCACAAAGTGAAACAGGTTTAAATATGCGTGTTCTAAATAACAGATACGATGACAAAAATAACTCAAAGCATCCCTTTAGGTATGATGCTAAACTAAAAAACTTTGCGTACCAACATTACAGCAAAAGTTTAGAAATGATAAACACTGACAGAATGGATTCGTTATCTACACAATTTCTAAAATACAGAAGCAACGATGAAAACATATTTATAGGTAATTTGACGTCAAAAACCAATGAAGAACTTAATGTAGATGACATTTTGAAAAATAGAGTAATATTAGAAACTTTAAACAAAAGAAAACGCAAAGGAATATGGGCTCAACAACAAGAAAGAAAAAGGGATTATTGTATTTATTAAGTTTTTAGTTATTAAACAACTTTTTATTAGTTAAAATATTATGCTGTATTTCCTTTTATAATCCATTTTAAATAATAAACAAACAAAAAATTCAAATAACAAATAAATAAAAACTTTTAAAAACCAAAAAATGCTTTTTAAATTAAAATCGCTTACTTTATTTTTTATTTTTTGTAATCAAGAAATTAAAGTGAGAGTTATAAATCTAGATTCTAAATAGAAAAAAAAATTGAAAATTAGAAAACAAAAAAATGTACATTTTAACACCCTTTATAAACTCAACAGGTAAAGTTATCTTTATATTATAATTTTTTGACGTATTTTGTAAAATTATATAGATTATATTATGTATAATGTACATATTTTCTGTTAGTTTGCATGATATACTTATACTTATAAATTGTTCTAACCTCCTATAAGGTTATATAGGATCTTATAAAGGATCAGGTCTAAAGGATTCTATAGACGCTAACCGCTTAAAGACGCTAACAACACACAACAGCTTTTACCGATTAGTAAGGACGAGCATAAACGACATGCCAACCGCAAATGCATCTGTAAATGGTGACTAGTAAACTTGTCACAGCTTTGTATGAACAGGTTGAACTACAGCCTAGGGTCAGTGTTTTAAAACTTTTTATCGTCATATATATATATATATATATATATATATATATATATATATATATATATATATATATATATATATATATATATGTATATATATATATATGTATATATATATATACACATATATATATATATATATATATATATATATATATATATATATATATATATATGTATGTATGTATATATATATGTATGTATGTATATATATATGTATGTATATGTATATGTATATGAATATATAAGTTTTCATGAATAAAAGTAATAGAGAAATTTAACTTTTTAGATTAACTTTATAAATTTTCTTTTAGACATTAGAGCCTGAAAAAAAACCATCAGGAATTTAAAATGTTTGAAAATTTTCAAAGTTTGTTATTGAGCTAATTAGAATCGATATAGGAAGTTCTACTGGATAGAAAAATGAACTTATGCTAGTATTATCAGGACTATTTATTGATCCAAAAATCAAATCAACTTTAGTCTTAGACAAACTTAAAATGGACAGGCAAAAGAAATTTCTCCATTTAAAATTTATGCAGAGGTTATTTGAGATTCAAAATAGTAAAACAAGTGGTCAAACTATAAACAGAATTATTAAAGTTCTAGAAATTACCTTTGATGCTCGAATATGGTATAAGCTCAAATATTTTTGATAAAGTTAGATACATTTTGATAAAGTCAAATACATCAAAGATTTTTCTTTTTTTTTTCTTTTTATTCAGAAAGTGTTTAGAGATCATGTACTACTTGTTTCCAAAGTTTCTCATTTTGTCTATGGTATAGAAGCTCATCTAAACTTATTGTGGATAAAATTTTAATCAGAAAGCATCAAAAGAGTTTTTCGTTTAAATGTTCATTTGTGTCTAGATAAATTTTTGTTATAAAAACTTACATAGTGAGTTTCTGAATAATTGTTTTAATTATTTAATGTTTAAAGTCATTTTTTTTTAAAGTTTATTTATGCAATTTTTCCAATTTTTCCTCCATTAACAAATATACAAAATGTGTATAGATTTTCTATATTTAAATCAACACAATTTCCTATAGAATTTTGAAACAAATGATCTTAGTATTCCAACTAAAAAAATTAATAGAATATTTTATTGAATTGCAATTTGTAGTCTGAAAAAACCTCTATTTCTATAGGCCATTTTTTTTCAAAATGCCTAAGAAAATAGTGCAGCATTATGGAATCAGAGAACCATTGACCTGGGTATTAGATTGTCTAGAAATGTAAACTAGTCTTGTTTTATTAAAAAGTTTTCTACAGTAAATTTTGTGCGGACCATTTTTGAAAAATGAGGCAGTTTAAATATACACCAAATAAATATTGTTCTTGATTTATGTACAAAATTCTTTTATAACTTTGCAAATGGATGTACACTTTATCAAACACATACAGCCATAAAGCCTAAGGGAAACAAAAAACAAAGTTATATTTGAGTAAGTGTAAGTTGAGTAAGTTTCAAAACAATTTGATAGGTGCTTAATGTAAAAGCAAATAACTAAGTGGAAGAAATGGCAGTAATTGATCATGTCTATACCCAGTAGTAAAAGAAATACAGGTCCGATTAAACTCACTTTAATAGAGCTAAATAAATTTTGTAACAAGGACAAATGATATTCAGTAAATAAAATAGAAATATAATCAATACTAATATATTAGTTGTACCCTATTTCAAGGTCACATATCTCGGAGACTGGACTGTTGAAACATTTATTAAATTTTGACATTAAAATAATTTTTTTTATTACAATATCAATATATTGTTATTTTATTATAAAGATGAATTACAATACAATATTTATTGTTATTGTAATGGGTCATTACAATACATTTTTTTTTTCAAATATTGTTATTATGATTATTTTTCAGATATTGTATTATGACGATGTATTGCAATACTATATTTATTGTTATTGTATTACAGTATTTAAGTAATTGTAAATCACAAGTATTGTTATTGTTTCTAAAATAGTTAATACAATAAACAATAGTTATTGTTACTGTCATTGTTTTCATTACAATTACAATAGTCCTAACCCTAATCACTATATAAAAATATAAATATCATAAACATAAGGTCCAAAATATACAAATATATTGTTTTTGTATAAATATGATAAAAACGAAATTTGTATAAATTGATAAAAAAAGTAACTTGTTTGTAGTTATAAGTAGCTCGCAGAAGGCTGAAGTCAGTCTTGTCATCAAGTACCTTTTTTCTAGACGTGTAATACACATAAAAAAATCAGTTGCATACGTGATATATAATTATGTGTTATATATATATATATATATATATATATATATATATATATATATATATATATATATATATATATATATATATATATATATATATATATATATATATATATATATATATATCTAATTAATAGTATTATTTTTATTTACTTATCAGTTTCTGTTAAAAGTTAAGCTACATTTTTTTTTTTATTAGGGTTATTTTTTTTTTTTTTTATATTTAAATTTTTAATTTAAGAATTTATTATTGACTTTAGCCTTATTTTCAGAGAGTGTTCGTTAATTAAATTTATTAGTGATTTGTTTTTGAAAATTATTTTATTAAATAAATAGAGACAACAATATATAAGTAAGAATTTTGAGAGTCTTGTTGTTTCAAACGGTAAAGTTGCCAGTTATTTTTGTTTTGTATTTGTTAACTTTGTTTTTAAAAAAGTGTGCTGTAAAATGGTCTGAAATCAGACTTATATTTTGATAAATATTTATTTAAAATATATTTATTGTGTTCATTTATTCCAGTAAGGCTTGAGCATGAGTAAATTTATTTTTGATGTACCCTAGTCTTGAAGCGTGTTTTTGACGTAAGTAAAGTGGCTCTAATTTAGATTTGTGGGTACTGCCCAATGCTATATTAGCATACATAATATAGTTATGTACGAATGAAAAGTAAACAACTTTTAGACTTTTTTGTGACAAAAATGGTCTTGTCTTGTAGAGTAAACCATTGTTTTTTGATATTTTTTAGTTGTAGTTTATATAGGGTTTCTAGGAGATGTATTTATCAATAAGGACCCGTAAAAACTTCGTACTCAGAGCTCTTTCGATGGCTATATTTTCTATATTAATTGTTGGTAGGTTCAGGGGTATTTTCTTAATTTGTTATCTAGAGTGGAATAATATATACTTAGTTTTTTCTATATTGAGTGACAGTTATTTTGATCTAAACCATATATTAATTTTTTTTAGTTCAACTACTGTTTTTTCAAAAAGGTTTTCGATTGTCTTTGATAAAATAAGTAAAAAAGTTTTTTATCGTCGGCAAACATTGTAGTATATTATATACATAGTTTATTAAATGTTCTTTTAATTTATAATTTGTAGATACAAATAAAATTTTGTATTTCCATTCAAACTCCTTAAAATCTGAAAAATTAAGGAAAAAGAATAAATAATAAAGTAAAAAATGCCATCTATAAATTTTAATCGAAACGTTGACTTATAAAAAAAAGTCCAACTGGATCCCACAGTGTTTCCAAATTTATTTTACTCTAATTTAAAAACCTAATCACAATTCCTTCATAAGTTGCATAACTTTTTTGAAATTTACATTAGGAGTTTATTAAAGCATGAGCATTTTTAAGTTTGGAGTTTATACAATGCCTGAAAGTACCTACCTGAAACATGAAAAAAAATCACTTGTTGTATATTTTATTGTATTCAAAAATTCTCAAGAGAATAAAGTGATCTAATGTATTAAAAGCTTTTCGTAAATCAACAAATACACCCATGATTCAGTCATTTGGTGTAGGGATTATTGAACTATTAGCATGAAATTCATACAAATGTATGTAGAAACACTTAAATTTTTCCAGAAAATGTAAAAATGCACATGTTCAAAGTTAGCTCAATGGGTAGCCAAAGTTGACTCAATACTAAAGCAACTACAAAATCTTTTTGGATTAGCGTAATGCAAAACTTATCCAATGTAATACTAACTTTAGGCGCCAATCCGACGAGCTAGAATTCATATACCGAGAGAAAAAAAAAGTGTTCTTAATTACCGTAATATTTCCATAATTCTGACATTTATAATAATTTATAACAGAACATATAATTATATTGATTACATTACACTGTTATACAATAATCAGTTTGGTTTTAAAAAGAATACTTCAACGAAACACGCATTATTTTAACTTGTAAGGAAAACCTCGTTTAATAAAAATTATTTGGTGTTTTTGTTGACCTTTCGTAGGCTTTTGATACCGTCAATCATTCAAAAACTTAAATATCACGGCATCGCATCACGGCATATAAACTTAAATATCACGGCATCACATCACGGCAATATACCATTGATGCATCACATCAATGGTATAAAAGTTACTTAACAAAACGGAAGCAATACGTGCAAAGACGGATGCTGTAATGAAATGATTAAAATAGTA